CTCAGTGAGTATTCTGCCAATCCAATAAATACATGCTTTTCAATAATTCAAAATCTAATTTTTAGATGCTGCTTCTAAAAAGATGACCTCCTCCCAAAGACACAACATAAAGCTTTTCAACAAAAGGTAACCTGTCAGGCTCCTGAGTCCTGTTATTCCTCAAAACTTTTATAACCTACAGTACTCTTAAACAGAATGTCAAGCCAAAACACCAGAATTTGCTGAAATTAAATACTTTATTCTATATCTCAATTTAAAGCCTTACTGTATCTGCTATGACAATTTAGGGACCTTTTTTTGTATTTTTCAAATTCTGCACAGAACAATTTTGATGAACACATCAAAATTAGAACATCATCATTATATGGAGGAAAAGTGATTTACCATATATCATTTTGATGTGTAAATGTTGAATGTTTTTTGCACATTAATATATAACTAAGATTTATGAATGTACTCCCTTAATTGGCTCCTTCCCAAAGACATTTAAACAAGTCTTTTATACCTTAAAAAAAAAAAAAAGTTAAGAAAAGAAAACTTCCTATTATCCACATCTCCTCCTCCCCTTCACACCACAGACAAACTCTGGGAAAAAGTTGTCTGTACTCACTGTCTGTTTCCTCACCTCCCACTCGCGCTTCATCCCACTCCAGTCTGGTTTCTACCTCCACCGTGCCACCAACACGGCTCCAGCGAAGGTCGCCAAACATCCACACATCTCTCAATCCCATATATTTAACAGTCAGAGTAGCAAGTCTAAAAGTGAATGTTATCATTCACATCTCAGGCTACGGCCTGCGCTGTGGCTGTTTCTGCACCTGGCTGTGCAGATGTGGGCCAGCTGCTCGCCGAGCCTTGGCTTTCCTTTGCCTACTGGACCCAAAGGTGGGCCTCAAGTACACATCACAACTCCAGAATTAATAAGAGGGGGTTTTCTGCAGATGAAGAGAAAGATGTCATAAATAAGAAAAACTTCATGACTCAAATGAAGCTTATGGGAAACCAGCTCTTTACCCTTATTTCTTTCTTCCCATGAGTCTCTAAATTAAAGGAAACCAAATACATATGCAGTAAAAACCTGCAGGAAAAAAAAAAAAGCCATGATCTTTTTCACTACAGGCTTTCAAATACATCTCAAAATTCAACTACAGAAAATATGGTCTCGTTACTTACTGAATGGTTTCTTTACAGAAACTTCATCAAAACTTCACTGCAGCATGACTGTTTAAAGCCTCCACTGACTACTTTTTGTATAAGAGCTTCTGTATGGAGAAATAATACAGCATGGCAGTAATGGCTGAGACCCTGGGCTCTGAAGCCGGGCTGCCTGCACGCACCGCGGCTCCACTGCTGACTACGCTGGCCCACGGCTCCGGGCCTCAGCGGTGATGATCACAGTAAGTTAAGAACTAAGCTGCACGGAAAGCTCATGGCCCTGAGTCTGGATCATGAGAAATGCTCAGTACACAGCCGATGTCATATAGTTACTGTATTACATGTGATTTTAAAGCCACTCAATTGGGTGACTACACTAATGATAATGTAGGCTCATCAGCTGTCATTAAATGGACCACTCTTGGGGTGGGGGGGTGCCCTGGGGAGGCCATGCCTGTGTGGGGGCAGGGGATGTACGGGCATTCTTCTCTGCATCTTTAGTGCCACTCTGCTGTGAATCTAAAAGCTGCTCTAAAACATAAATTCAGTTTTTTAAAAAATCACTCAATCTCATATGAAAACCGTATAGGTATGTTTATTCTTTTTCCATGTTCCTGATACTGGCTAAAAATAATGACAGTTACCAATTATAGAACACTTAACCCTTACCTAGCCCTTTGTGCATATTACATTATTAAATAAGATATCTCAAAGTTTTCCAGATTTCCGGACCAATATTTCTATGCCCAATTTAAAAGCATTCAATTATCTTGTCGAGTCTCCAAGCTCCATGTAGTTTAAGAGCAGAAGTCTAAGTCAAGGAGAGATCATAGGAGAAAATGGCTCCTAAATAAGGCAGTTATGAAAGGGAGGTTTAATTACATAATTATGTTACCCAACAGAGGGCTGAAAGGTTCGAGATGACTTTTACATCAAAGATTCGTTAACAAGGTAAAAACCACAATGTCCTCATGGTGATGAATACTCTCACAGGCTCTTTCTATTTCTCCAGGTAAACAACAGAAGGACACAATCCTCTAACTGGGCAGTCTCTCTCTATGCATTTGGCATTTAGTGGAGATGAATCACTGAAATTACTCCAAACTTTCTCCATCTTGATCATCACTGTTTTTATAAGGGACAACTACCCCTGTCTTCACTGAGCTTAGCAATAAACACAGTCTTTTAGCCATGTAATTAAATTCTTATTTAGCGCATCCACAAACCAAATAAACCAGTAAGTCATCGCTGAATGATCAATGTAGCTTAAGATAATACGTCAGAGCCCTTACAGTTTCTGTGGTCTGTCACTTAAAATAATAAAAATAAGTAACAGCAGCAAGCCTTTACGGAGCATCTACTACATGCCAAGTTCTTTGCACATGTAAACTAACTTTATAATAACCCTAGGAGGAAGGCAGAAGATCTGTCCAAGATCACAAAGACGGCAAGTGGAATATAAGGGTTTTGAACCCAGGCAGTCTTGAGTCCGGAGAACACACTCCTAACCGCCACCCTGTACAGCCCAAACAGCCGCCCCTCAACTGACAAGCTACAATTGGTGGGCTTATCACAGAAGGTGTTTCCTGTAAGTGCTCTTCTCATTCAAGCATTTCAACTCTTAGCAGACACTTATACAGTTCCTCTTGTCAAAATGAATGATAATCCACAGACGGTAACCTCTAAAATACTAGCCGCCTTGCAACCCTTCTTATACACAGGCTCATTTCGGCTACTTTTACTAGAAAGGGGACTATGTCTTGAGATGCAGAGTGAAATCTTACCAGGCACTTTGCTATCTATTTTCTACTGCTTATAAGTAAAAGCAGTCACTTTTATTTAAAGGCAATGACACACAATTACCCTCTTAAACAAGACGCCCATTTAAACACTATGCATAGGTTTCCTTATAATAGTTCCTATTACTCAGTTTGATGACAATGAGCCACCATGTCAATTTACTACTCATTTAACCTGTGGTCAAATTACTTCCTTTATAGGCTATTTCTTACGATTCACTCCTAAGACACTGAATGCACATTCCATAATTTGGGTTGGAAAAATCTGAACTCCTGAACAAAGATATGATCCAAAAATGTCTAATAAGCTCTCAGTGTTATGGCCCTTTATAAGCCATATGACAATTTTATAAGCAATTTCCAACAATGTGATATACAATTTGGTGAAAATTATCTTAGGTTCTCTGAGGAAAGAATGAAAACTTTTCTGCCAAATAACTATTTTAAATCGCCTGCGAAAATATCCTTAAAGTAATAGTGAGAAGACAGAATCCAGGCAGACTTCCAAGTGGAGTTGTAACTATCGGGCTTTTTCTGCCTAACCGCTTTGTAGTGCTCATTGAGCAGTCCTGATAAAACAATATCCAACAGTTAGCCTTGGTTTTCTGATTAGAAAAGCTTTACAAGTCTAAATCTCAGTGAATTCCTACAAGATTACCTAAGCGACAACAACTTCTCTATCAATAGTTCTTGACCCTTGAGGGAGTCTCAGACCCTTAGGATAATCTGATGAAAGCTGTGGACCTTCTTTCCAGAGAAATGCAAAGTTCTCAAGCCCATTCCCAGGTCCCAAGAGAAGAATCCCAGCACTGTACCTCGAACCAAATAAAGGGAGAGAGCAGACGGCAACCTTAAACTCTGTAACAGAAAAATCAATCTTTCTGTTTGCTCCGTCAGGAAAAACAGGTCTTTTTACAGATTCTAAATCAAAGGGGTTGTGGCAATGAATTAACCTGGAGCCAGATCTGGTCAGATGTATTGATCCTCACCACCCAGAACTCTCTTCTCCCAAAACTCCACATGGATACTTCTTGCCTTTCAGTATTTAGTTCAAATGTCACCTCTTCGGAAAGGATTACTTTCTTGACACCTATCAACAGCAGTCCTTTATTATCACATCTTGCTCTTTTATTTTCACAACAGTATTTATTGGTATTCAAAGATGTCTCAGTAACTTTCTTATTACTTACTTTGTTTCCCCTATTAGGGTATAAGCTCTATAAGGGCAAACACCTTGTCTGACTCGCTCCCCACTCTATCTTCAGGGCCCACCACAGTGCTACCAAGCACAGTGGGCATTTGATAAATATTTTGAATGATTTAAACTAAAAGACAGGATGTCGCTGTTGGGATCAACTACTTAGGTTTAACTACCTATGAGTTAGCGTTCTCTCTCATTTTCCATTATCTGTGGGTCTATTCAATCAGTATCTGCCACGTGCCGGGCCCTGTTGCAGGCGCAGGGGACCGAGAACTGAATTAAAACAAGACCTCTATCTCAGCGGACCGCCCAGAGTAAGATCTCTTGCACATAATACCTGGGAGATGTAAAGATAACCACTTTACATTCCTTTCTTGAAAGAAGTTATGAGTTATGGGAGATCTCCAAATTAAAGGAAAACATTCTCCAATCCCACACTTCCAAAGCAAGCCTCAGGGTTCTCCCTAAACCAGTTCTTCCCTCCTGCTCTGCTCACATGGGGGAACCCCAACCAGCAGAATGCCGGTCAAGAACAAACTTAAGGCAAAGACTCCTTATGAGGGTGGTGAGGGGAGGAACCAGGAAACAGGACGGCAAGGAGTCGTGGCAAGAGCCGTGGGCTGGGCGGTTGGAGAACCTGCCCTGGCTGTCACCAACTTGCTAGGTGACCTTGGGCCAGTCCCGAGGTACCAGGGCATCAGTTTCCTCCGGGGTATAATGAAGAGGCCGGCAGGGTGGGATTCGGGGTCGGGGAGAGGTGGAGCCCAGGAGGCTGCTGAGGACGAGTGGGGTAACGGCCGACGTGGGGAGGCCGGCGCGGGGCCGGGCCGGGGCGGCTCACCCACCGAGCGCCACCTGGCAGGCCCTGCGCAGCTGGGAGTGCTGGGGCCGCTTCACCTCCTTGTCGGCTAGGATCTTCTCCAGGGCCCGGGACACGAACATGCTCTTGGTCTGGCTCTCCTGCATGGCCCCAGCCCGGCGGGGGCTGGCAGCCCCGCGGGCGGGCGGCACGAGCGAGCGACCCAACGAGGCTGCGGGCCCCGCGTCCCGGCCGGCACCCGCCGCGTCCATCCGCACCACCCCGTCAGGAAGCGACGCCGCGGCCCCACGGCGCCGCCATGTTGGAGCGCGTCACGTGACCACGTGACTGGCGAGGTTACGGCAGCCGCGCGTCCGTCGACCCCGTGACCCTCAGCGGGGCGGGGCCTGCGGCTGGGGCGGGGCGCCGCGGGGCGGGGCCAGGTGGAGAATGGGGGGAGAAGGTGGAGGAAGGGAGGGAAAAAGAAGGTGGTGGGGAGGCGGGTGGAGGTGGGTGAAGGCAGGTGGGGACCTAAAGGGCAGAAAACAGGTGGAAGGGAGGAGAGCTGGTGATGTGGGTGATAGGAAATAAGGAGAAGGAGGCAGTGAGGAACCTGAGATTGGAGTCAAGGGTAAGAGAGGTGAGGAAGGAGAGGAGATGGGAGGAGAGGAAGGAAGAGGAAAGAGAAGTTTGGGGAAAAAAGAAGCTGGTACGAGAGTGAGAGAGGTAATAAGGGGCAAGAGGAGGAAGTGAGGAACGAGAGGAAGCTAAGGGGTTGGAAGAGGCTGTGAGGTGGTTAGAGATGAGGACAGAGAGGAGGTAGGAAGAAGAGGGTTTGGAGAAGAGCAAAGAAGAGGAGAGAAAAGAGGAGATAAGGGGGCTACAGGGAGGGGGTTTTAGGACAAGGGAAGGGGCATGAAATGGAAAAGAAATGGAGTGGCAGGGAGGTGAAGGGGGAGGAGGTGAGAAAGGATGGTAAGGAAATATGGTGGGTGATGGAAGGAAAAGGAAAGAAGTCATGGGTGGGTGGGAAGGAGAAGGGAAGGGAAGGGAAGGTAGAGAGCAAGGTGTTTCTTATGACACCCTCCACAACAGGATTTCTCCATGCCTAATGGCAAGACACAGGCACCTTCTCCATGACCCTCTGGTCACCGCCGCAGAGCTGGCTGTCTAGTTTAGGGGACTTCTGTGTATCTGGTTTCACACCTATGCCCAGTGCTGCCAGTAAGAACCACCCCCAGTGCACATTCCTCTGGAGGCTCTTGGTTTATTTCCATAAACCTGTAGCTCCTCACCATGCAGAACACCAGGGCAGGGGTACTTGGGGGGGTCTGACGGGAGAAGAAACAGAGATCACCAGTGTCACCCAGCAGCAAGAGAGTGTAAGAAGACAGATATTCTGGCCCCAGGGCACCTTCCACTCCATCTCCCTACCAGCGATATCACAGCGCCACGGGCGGTGTCCCCTGGAGCCCTTCCCTTCACGCTGCCCTCCTCTCCCAAGTGGACCCATGCTGCTTTGGGCTCATGCAAGAACATGTCTTTCTTAGAAACCTCAGAAACTTCCCATGCAGCCATGCTCAAATGGTAGATCTCAGTTCAACCATCTCAGGGAGGCCCCCACTGACCCCCCTGTCTGAAGTAGCCCCCCCCCTCCCTAGTTGATGTGTTTCATTGCACTTTCTGACCTTTTTTACTTGTTGACTTGTTTGTTGTCTGCATAGGGTATGGGCCACAGAGGGGTGGGCCGTAGCCCAAGGGCCTGGTGCAGAGCCAGGTAGAATGTTTCATGGCCATGAATTCCAAAGAAGTAATGTGGCTTTAGAGCTCTTCCTGTTAAACTGGAGTCTGTTTCTTTATCCCTCTAGGGTAACCTTGTGACTAGCCTTGACCAATAGAATGTGGCAGAAATGAGGCTGTATGTGGTTCAGAGCCTAGGAGTCAAGAGGCCTTGGATGCTCAGGAAGCATCTTGAAGAAAGAACATGTGGAGGGAGAGGCTCAGTCATTCCAGGTGACCCACCAGCTGAATACAGCAGCTTCAGAGACCCTGGTGAAACCAGCAGCAGAACTGCCCAGCCAAGCTACAGAGCAGCATAAGACAGCAAATTATTCTTTTAAACCACTACATTTGTTATACAGCGTGAGAGACCCCTCAATCCTTACGTGTCGAATGAACGAGTGAATGTGCGAAACTCTCAGAAAAGTGCAGTGCAATCCCCAAGCAACAGAAGTTTGGTGCCGTCCCCCACGACAAGGTCAGGCCATGTCACTCCCCTACTGAACACCATGCTCAACTCTGCCTTGCCCTTGGACTCGAGTCTAAGGGCAAGTTTCCCCTGCTATCTGAAGGTAGAACATTCCTATGAAATCTTTAAGCCAAAATGGTGTTAGGCAAAGAAGCAATTACCATTAATTTACATGGGGAATGTTTTGAGTGTTCCCAGATAACAGGACGCCACGGTGTTGCATACCCATCAATCCACTCAAGCAATAGACTTGCCTTTTTATCCATTATTGGATGCTGAATAAAGGAGACCACTTTGCTATTAGCAGAACCAATAGTAACTTTGGCAGCTTTTAAGATTCTCTGTGTGTGTGTGTGTGTAAATAGTACGAGTGGTGAACACAAGCAAGTTCAATGCATGTACAATGTCTTTATTTCATTCACCACAATCGAAATGTGTACGTATGTCCAGTTTTACTCTAAGCAGAAAGCCCTCAGAGCTCTCTTAGGCTTTTCTGAGACCCTAGGATACATCTTGCTGTTGGAGGCACAAAATGAACAGAGCTGAAGCACAGATGCTCACAGACACAGCACGAAGCTCTGGAGGCTGCAGTGCAGTTCTGTCATTCGCTCAGGGAGCCCTTTAGTGGCTCTCTTCCGCTTTTCTTTTTAATTTCTTTCAGTTAAGGAAAATAGGTGCAATGTACGCCTTTTGTAAAAGCCAAGCGGAGGAGTGGGAACTTTGAAAAGCAGTGGATCCCTGTGGCTCGCCTTGGCCGAATTTTCTGCCTCAACCTCCCTCCCCCTTTTTCTTCTCTTCCTCGGGACTCTCCGGCCACGGTGGATTCCCTTCTTGTTTCGATCAAGGGCAAGGCGGATGCATCTCTGTTCCTCTCAATCAGTGCTTCCCAATGAGGGCAGTACTGCTCCTGGGGGCATTTTCAAGTTTTGTGGGGGAAGTTTTTTTTATTGTCATCATTGGTGGGGGGAGCAGGAATGCTTGACAACATCCTGCAGAGAGCTGGACAATCCCATGTAGCAAAGATTTACATGTGTCCCATGCAGCTGGACTAGACATCCCTGTAGGCAAGAAACCCATTAAGAATGGTCTGCCCTGACCAGGTAGCTCAGTTGGTTAGGGTCCATCCCAAAATGCCAAGGTTGCAGGTTTGATGACCGGTTTGATGACCAGTCAGGACACATACGAGAATCAGCCAATGGATGCATCAGTAAGTAGAACAACAGATTTCTCTCTCTCTCTCTCCCCTTTCCAAAATCAATAAATTTAAAAAAATTTAGAAAAAGGAGTGATCTGAACCTAGAACATACATCCACTTTACATATAAACACAAAGCACTTTTTGTCGGGTTTTAATATATATTGATTTTCCAGGAATGCAACTATTTCTGTAATTCAAGGGAAAACTGTTTTGTCTGGAAGTTTACCCAGTGTCGGTCACTGTCTGAAAACCACATCACCACCGCGGTATCCCAGCCATGGCATGTGAGCGCCACAACGGCACCGTGGGTCCGTCCGCTTTGTCGCTGCCGCCCTTCAGGCAGCATCTGATTGTTTTGTTATATCTCTCAGAGTAATTGTGTCTGAGTATTTACATGTTGAAATAAAATTTGCAATTGATACATTGCTTTCCTTTTGTTTCATCTTTGTTAGGTCATTGTCTTTTTTAAAAAACTTATGTGTATAGAAAGATTTCATTAGCTATGAATTTCATTTCCAAACGGTTAATGGAAGGCTTGTGGTTATAAAAAAAAAGGTGTGTGGTGTGTATTGGAGCTGGAAAGCACCACTGGCTGGCCCCTTCCCACCATTCTGATCAAAGCTCAAGGTCACCGGCAAGGGAGGCTTTCACTGACTTCCCAATTTTATCACCCCTGCCCCCACCACTTGCTTGCACATCACCTTGATTTCCTTTACTTGTTGCACTAAATTTAATTTGAAACAGTGGTGTTTGTTTACCTGTGTATTAGGGCTCTTTTGCTGCATAACAAATTACCTGAAAGCTTCATGGCTTCAAATCAAATGTTTATGATCTCGTCATTTCTGTGGGTTAGAAATTCAGGGGCGGCTTGGCTGGTTCTGACTCGGGGTCTCTCATGAGGTTGCAGTCAAGCTGTCACCTGGGGCCACAGTCATCAGAAGGCCCGACCAGGACTGGAGGAGTCACGAGGGGGCTGTCTCACACGGCCGTTGGCTGGAGGTCTAGTTCTTCACTTCTGCATAGGGCCGCTCATGACAGAGCACCTTGCTTTCCCCACAGGGAACGATCCAAGAGAGGAAAAGAGAGAGAGGAACCTTGGGAAGCCACAGGGATGTTTATGACCTTCTCCGAAGTAGCTCACCGTGCAGGCTGATCGAGGGTGCTGTTCTAGTGACTCAGCCATGGTTGGCATGAATGTGGATGATGTGGTTTTTAGACGGTAAACAACATTTGGTAAAGTTCCAGACAAAATACAGTTTTCCCTTGATTTACATATAGTTGCTTTCGAAGTGAATGACAGTCCAGCCCACGCTCAAGGAGAGAAGAATTAAGCTCCACCTTTTAAAGGAAAGATCCGTTTTCACATGAGTTTGTTCACTTGCCCTCTTACCTTCTCCAGGTAGAATGTGCATCCACAAAAGTAGAGACATTGTGTTGTTCATAGTGTTATGCCCAGAGTATGTAGGAGGTGCTTAATAACTATTTATGGAATGAATGAATGAATGAATGAAGATGGCTGGATTGGGGTCCACAGGATTTAACCATTTAATCAGCAAGAAATTCGGGGGGCAACTTGTAAATTTCTAAGACAGGCACAACCTTGGACTCCAAAGATCTCCGCATCTTAACCCCCAGAAACTGTAAATATGTTACCTTGGGGGGCAAAGGGGATTTTGCAGATGTGATTAAATTAAGGGTTTTGAAATGGGGAAATTATTCTAGATTCTCCAGTAGGCTTAGTAGAATCATGGGGACCCCTATAAGAGAGACGCAGGAGGGCCAGAGCCAGGACATGCGAGGACAGAAGCAGAGGCTGCAGTGGCGGCGGGGCCGCAAGCCCAGGGACACAGGCAGCTTCTAGAAACTGGAACAGGCAGAGAACTGGTTCTCCCTCGGTGC